AAAATCTGGCTGACTGCTGAGGAAAATAGTTCAGTCCCATTTCACATAATTGTGGCAGGTCTTCCAGGAATAAAAGTCTGAACGGTTCTTCTGGCTGAGTTAAGAAGGGGACTGAAATAGACGACCCTAGAATTAATTTGAAATGAGGATTTCTTATGAAGTAATTTACTACAGCGCAAGTCAAAATTTAAATTCAATCTGAAGTTACAGACTTTTGGCCCTCCCTACTTTACTCTCTGAATCCTGGTGTCCATAATGCCTGCATGCTGTGTTAATATTTAGAGTGTGCATGAAACACAAGAATTTTTAGCTCAGTTTCTAACCTAATGGATAAATTTTCTCAGCCTTTTCAAGTGGCAACTTGTAGGAAACTCATTTTTGCCCAGTTTTAATATTTGTGCTGCAGATGACAGCAGAGAGAGCTAGCTAGATTCCCTTTGTAATCGACAGATCTAATCAACAAAATCAATGCGGTCAATTTAGCTCATTCTAAAGTAGACTCCTACAGTTGGTCAAATAAATTGCTCTCTAAACTCCAATGATAACAATAAGAGATTAAACAGCTGTCACTGTAACTAACTCACGTCAACAGCTACACAATGTAGATAAAATCTTAGATCCATCAAATTCCACCTGTTTTTCCAGACAAAATATATCAAAACATAGAATTCATTTTTTAAAATTAGATTATTGGAGAACCATTTAATAACCTACTATACTTTAAAAAAAATCAGATGCCTGCATAAACTTCAGCCTGTTCAGCCCGCACTGTTAATTCATAAGGTCCTGATAGCATGTGGCAGATGTCCTTTTGAGGTGCTTTACTAGGAATGTTATTTGCAGTAATATAACTGTAACCCAAGAAAATTGTGGTTTTCATTAATTTACATGTTCTGTCTCCCATCATCTCTTTTCTTCCTCGGAATCTAAATTTTATTGTTAATTGTTGAGATTTTTACAACTTTGCTTTATACTTACATGGCAATGTATAGCTAGAATGAAATGCAAGTTCACAAAGCTTTTAAACATTGCCTTCATTCTAAACCGCAAGAAGAGTTTAATGCTGAAGTCCTTATCTGACTCTAAATTCACCTCTTCCTCAGAATGAGACACTCCTGTTCTTATGAAATACATGTTACCTGAGTTATGCTGTCCCCTTTACTTCCTTTATAATTTCATAATGTCTAGGTGTTGCAATACAACAAATATATTCAAACTTTGTCTAATGTACAACAATGAAAAGAAGGTTCTTATAATAAATTGTCACCAAGGGCTCCTCTCTAATCCTGGGAGTTTTAAAGAAAATAATTTCCCTGAAGAACCTGAGAAAATAAAACAAATAGGAACAAAAATGTAATTGAAATTCCCTTGCATGATGATGTTTTAAAGGCTGACATGTCATACAGTTGGTATGGCAGAATTGCCACTGGAAAACCCTGGAAATGAAAGAGCAATCCCACCCACAACTTTTCCCACTCTTCTGGTTAGTGGAGGTGCTACTAACGAACAGCTGCGTCAGCGCATAGAACCAAAAGATAGGATATCAAGTTCTGCACCTGGTTTTATCACGTAGTAGCTGTACAGCACCTGCTACAAATTAAATTTTTTTCTAGTTATGTTTCCATGTCTGTAAAGAGGGGACTATAATATTTCACTTGAGAAGAGTGATATCAGTTGCCACAATTAGATTCAAATTACAGAATCAGTGTTACAGTAAAGGAATAGTGTCCCGCTACCCATTTTAATAAGTACGAATAGAAAAAGTTTAAACTGAAATCACATCTCCACAGGACAATCTGGTGTTTATTAAACATAACTGCTAACATCACAATGTGTGAGGGATGCGTATGGATATCAACGCATCTGTAAAAGTTCAGCAGGTTGGATCCTTATTCCTTGGCAACATTTTTGAACAACTTCTATCGAATGCAATATGCTCTGTTTGAGTAGTAAAAGCTAACTGCTGTCAGGAAATAAATTCAAGATGAAAGTCTTTATTATTGCTGTTCCAGGAAGAAAGAGCTTCTTCTGGGCAGAACTGCATGAAGAGCACTGCAGGTATTATTCAGTTGTGCTCTGCTTGTCCTGTTCAAGAAGCACATGAAGGAGCTATTCCACTGAAGTAAGAGACTGCAAACATTAAAATTTTGACTTCTTCACCATGTTACTGTTTGTCTGAATAACAGATGTCTGTATCCTTCCTAAATCAGGAGGAATTTTTTCACCTCAAGTTGTACAGAGCAAAAAAGAAGGCATTGATCTAATGCACTTTCTTCTCTATCATCTTAGTGAAAAGTTCTGCATTTATAAAGCGTACCAAGGTGTAAAAAAACTTTCCAATTTTGCACTCCTGAGTAGAAAGGTACTATTACTAGAATGTAATAATAGGAATGCTTTTATGCATGCATAAAAGGACTGCAATAGGAATTAAGACACTTGTAGATCGTATCATTAATCTGGACACCTTTTCTCTAGTGATTTCTTTAAAGGACACTGCAGATCTTTTCCAGAATGTACCTTGCTCAGGGCAGGGTTTCATCTAGGGTCTCCTCTCACTCAAAATCAGCCTCTTCCTACTGCTATTTAAGTGTTAGTTGTAACTGAGCAAAAAGAAGATCCTTGTTCACTGATCCTGTTCATTCACACAGTTTCTCAACAAATTGTTCAGGGAAAAAAAAAAAAATAAAATAAAATAAAAAAACCTTTATTAGAAACACTGAAGAGAATTGTAGGAAGAAATCCTCAGAAGAGCTTTTAAGATTATGAAATAAAATTGCTAACTTGGTAAATTGCAATGTTAATAGTTATTTAAAACTAGGTTCATCAGAAAACTTTTCCCCATAAAAACACTGCAATTAAAAAACATTTTCAGTACTTCATCTCTTCCTCTCTAGCATCTTCCTTCCTTTATCTTAAAATTTTATTGTTCCCTTTGATCATGGCCCTTAACTTATTCATTTTGAGATCTGTAAAATATACATAAAAACACTTATTTACATAGTAAAAATGTCCTGCGACCAATGGTTAAGACTATTACATACCCACTGTAACTAAGAATTTTACTGTGTGGCTCACTGCATCCTCCTATGTTCAGCACCTAAACATTCCTTGCAAAAGTCCTAACTAGCATTTAAAGTACTCTTAATGGCTTTGTTAACAGACATATTCCATCTGACAGGCACTAGCCTGATTGAGTTTACCTAATGGCTGATGCACTTAAGCCTCCTGTTCTGAGCACAGCCTGTGAGCCTACAAAGATTCATTGTTTGCCTCCTTATAGGTGATAATGAAATTGGCATCCATTTAGCACTCCTGAATGGTTTCCATGAGAATTTGAAAAAGTTGTTTGCTACTACTGGTATTATATAACCGTCTTAGTTTCAGCATGCATAAAAGCATGTTCTTGTCAAATACCTTATCTCCAGGATTGTATTAATAACTAAGCATGAGTCATGCTAAGCACGAGACATGTTTGTGTTTATACATGATATACAGTAAGGACTTACTGTAAAAAAAAAAAAAAAAAAACCAGCTAAATCTGTTTGCCAAGCGCATTGTCGATGCATTATCCTATGACTTGGGTGGCCCTTCATTTAATATGCGGTCCTGATGTACTTCTGCCTATCAGCAAGCAAACATTACACTGGAAACTGAAAAGAGGATCACAAGAAGATTGCATTACCAGATAGAAATCTTGCCTTGTCCAGCTAATCTTTAAATTAAGATTTTAAACTTGCATTATCAGTGCTTAGTAAGCCAGGCTGCAAAGCACTGAGCATTTTGACCTGAAAGTACAACAAATTACTGAATCACAAACTCAGCACACAAGTAGTCCCATAGATTTCGGTCTTATTAAGGAGGTGTTTTAAAGCTTAGTTTATCAGTACTGATATTTAGCACTTTGCAAAAGTCAGTCACCAAAGGAAGCTCTGAGCAAGGGCTACAATTACCTTGACCATATATCTACTGTAAGAATAACAAGAAGTAACCATGACACAGTACTACTTTTTAATGTGAGTGCTTTGAAAGTAACACAGAATAAGAGAATAAATAATTGTTTAAATGCATCTCAGTCAGAACTGGTATATTCTAATCAAGGGAAAATGAGAGGATTCTCGTTGCAGTACACCAAAATAAGAGAAACAAGTGTTCTGACAAACTTAAAAATTTCATTGCAAAATATCAGAGAAAAGTCATAAATTTGCACTGTCCCTCCCTGTCAACTTAACAGACAGGAGCTGTGTGTGTGACCTTAGTGCACTGAACTGCAGCTACCACAACCTTCTGGATGGACAATCACATTGCTCTTTTAAGTTACATATATAAACTGGAAATACTAAGAAATGCAAAGCAGTTCCTATGAGCATATTCATCCCCACACAAAGATCTTTGCCAGACATTTCTACAGGAGATAAAGTAAATTACATCTTTAGCAACTTTTATTGATCTATTATGTCTGATACAATATCTTACCACAAAATAGGGATATCATGAAGCTATTCTAATAAAGAAATATCTGGGACCTTGGTGCTTTTTCTGTCATCTGGCCTTCTCAAAAGAACTCTATTCTTCCACAGTATTTTTTAGTTTATTTATTTTAATATGAAAATATTAAATGTACCCCATACATATACCCCCACTCATCAATACTTAAAACAGGATTTTAATCCTTTAAGGCCAATAGTGCATTCCAGAATACCTGAAACAGATATTCACTTCATTCTGGAAGCACCTGAAAACACCAGCACATCCCTCCTTGGCTTGAAATACACCTGCATGATAGACTTGTGCCATTAGCATTCCAGGAATATTCTGAGCTGGACAATGGACTATACTTCCAAATGAGATCTCCTAAAATCAAGCAATTAGATCATCCAACCAGACTCTCATGATGGTGACCAACTAACTGATTAGAAAAAAATCAAGTGGGATGTGGAAGAATTGAGCTGAAATCATTGATGCCTGAATTCATTGCAGAGATTTGGATGAAGGTCTCCTACCTTTCAGGTATCTTTTCAGTAGTCACTCAGGCCAAGACTTCCAGCCTCCTCTGTTAAAGCTCTTCTAATCTGTAAAGCAAAATAATTAGATATTAACCAGGGTGAGGAGCAGACCTCAGGCAACTTGTTTGCATATGTGTCTCTGAGAGGGGCTGAGGAGCAATTCCTTATCTACAAACACTGAAGATTGTAAGTGTCCTATAAAACAGTCTTCATCAGCACACACCAGGTGAAACCCACCCTCTCCAATAAAATGACAGGACTGCAGCAGCCAGGGCCTGCAGCACTGCATGACCTGGAACAAGGTCCCCAGCTGCCACCCGCCAAGACAGGGGACAGCACTGGGGGGCTGCAGCCCACAGGTGACCAGCACAAGGGCAAGGACATGAATTAAAACAGGAGCAGCACACCAGCAAGAAGCACAGATGAGCAGACTGAAATCTATATGCATGACCTCAGGCTCCTGCACCAATCCTCACCTTGCCAGAGGAATTTGTAGAGACTAAGTGTAACCTGTGGTAAAAAGGAGTTGAGACTAGGAAGGGGGGGAGGAAGGGTGTTTGGCTGAAGTTGAGCCTTGGGAAGGAGGAGGAGAAGTGAATTTCCTAGCCAGTATTTAACCTCCACTGGGCCTTTATTTTCTTCTATAAAACAAGTCATTTATGTTTACCAACTCAGTACTGACAATCACAGACTACTTTGTTCTATACTGCAGTCAGCATCTTTAAAATAAAAAGAAAAGAAAGCAAAACAAACAAACAAGCAAAAAAAAAGCAACAGCATGTCAAAATAAGAACTGAATTCAGACAAATAGCTTTTTTACATTGCTAGGACAGTTTAAAGTCACTGAGGCCAAACAGCGCCCACCCCTGAGGTTTTGGCTCCAGAAAGCGACTAACTCCCCTTATGCAAATAAACAGACATCTATTTGTTCTTGCACCTATACCTCAAAAATAAATAAATAAATAAATAAATGAATGAATAAATGAATAAATAAATAAATGTGTAAGCAGAACAACTTAAAAACTCCTGTGAAATACAGCATAAAGCTGTGAAAAGCAACATATTACTCCACTGCTTGCAGTAATTTTAACTGCAAACTTTAGAAACCCAGCTGTGTTATAATAAACAAACCAGCTGTAATCTGTAATACCAAAACTGTACAAGTCTGATCTGACTATGCAGACAGTAGGCAGGCACACAGCTCGTCTTAATGCATATTAAAAATTCTTGGCACCCCAATGCAAACAATCTCCAATGAAAAAAAATATCTGTATGAGCAATCCTGCGGGTCTTGTTTGACATTCCCTTCTTCGCCCCATGATCAGTCTTCCCTGCTTTTTGTGCTGAAATGGACAGTTATTTATGTAGGTTTGAGACAAGGAGGAAAACAGAGCTCTCACCAACAGTATTTTTGAGTAGTCTTGAAGTTCAGGGAAAACACTGTAGCAACTCCCACTGATAGATAATAGTCATGTGCATCTGCAGCTATACACATGCTTCTGTATGTCTTTGATGACTTCTGAGGAAAAATCACATCAAAATTTGATGGTAGCAACATGTTCAGTATTAGAATTTGAGCTGTCATTTTAATGAATGAAATGGCCAGGCTGCCAAAAATTCCATAGTTCTAATTTCCTAAGAGACAAACAAACACAGCTAATTAAAAATATACTGCCAAGTAGATTTGAAATAAAATTTAAAACATATAAATATGTTATATAAATTATAAATATCTATGGGACTTTTTTAAAAAAGTCTTGTCTGTCTGAAACTGACTCCTTCCTACCAGTCTGGGGATAGAGCTTCTCTGTAAAAGAATATAACAAACATTCCTTTCTTGTAACTTCTTTTCTCTCCATCAAATTATAAGCATTTAAAACGTATAGCACACATACATACAGCTACAGTAGCTTTTAATCAAGACACATTTTTCTTGCCATTTCTTCAAAACTCCAACCAGTAGAATATAAGTTATTTCTTCTACAATAGGCAAGTCACCGCAGTCACAAGGAACGTTTAAAGAGGAGAAAATGACATGATATGGCAAGAATAGTTTCATGTTGTCATGAGCGTAGATTTAGCTCAAAAATAGAACACTAACTTGACTACTCAAAGATGCTTCACAAATAAAACATTTCCCTAACAAATATGTAAGTTGCAACACCCAGAAAGTCCCAGAACTCCCAGGAAATCTCTTGTTAATGGCACACCATGACTAAGCTTTCTAAAAATGGTCTCAGAAGAATGAAGGTCAAAAGGAACAGAAAAAAAAAAAAAAAAAAAGACAAAAATATATATGTGTTTTGCCTTTCCTCTTCAATCAGTGTAACTACACACTGAACCTCAGCAGATGCATACCCTGTCCCTTATGTTTCACTCTATCAGAACAGGTTATAGCTACATCGCTTTCTCATGACCTTCCAATATCCTACCCTGCTTGTAATCCTTGCACTATGTGACCTCAGGAAATCTCCATTCAATTCACCCAAACACATTGACTCTCTCCCCCCGCTTCTGCATTTTTCCTGGTTCTTCTACCATGAAAGCAATGTTTTTCCGTGACCCAGCAGTTGGATTTAGGGGACATCAGTTTAAATCTAGCAGTGTTTATAAGAACACATAATGATATTTATACACTCAAAACCAACCTTTTGTAGCCTCTTAACCTTCTCCCAAAATTCTAAAATGGGCTTCTCCTCCATGAGACAAAGATAATAAAACACAGCCAAGTCATGCTATTGATATTATAAGCCAAGAACATGACAAGATTATTAAAAAAAAATAAAAAATAAAAATGCAATGACATTTTCAAAATGCTTCAATGTTTATTTCAATCTGTTTAGTGGCCAAATTTCCCAGGGAAGTCTAATACTGAAGTGACACAAAGTATACAAACTCATGGGAAGCTTGCTTTCTTTGATGACACTGGGGGTTGTCTGAAAATTCCTGGCACTTGAAGATCCTTATTTTGAGGATCTCTCTAAAAGGACTGAAAGCAGTCATAGGAGAAATAGTCTTGAGGTATAATCTGTGCAGTACATCATGGGAGACCTGAGATCATTTTCACGATTTAGCAGACAATCCATTTCTATGGATTGTCTGTCTTTAAAATCTGTAGACTGAGGAAAAGTGATACGTCATCCACATCTCTTCACGTTTTGGAACCTGTGATTTATTTAATTTTTTTTAATCATAATATATATTTATTTTTTTTTACCACAGTACGTCAAGTACAAATAACACAATCTCAGTGGAGACCTCCAGGACTTAGTGAAATACACATACACATTTCTCTCTCTCAGCACCCTCCAAAAAGGTACTATTACTGGAGCAGTTACTTGTTAAAAGTGAAAGTATTTTACCATGCTAATCATTTAATGAATTAGATTAGAGAAACTTCATGTCCTCTTAAGATCATCAAAGCCGGAATTCTTTCCTGCAAGTCACATTCCAGCTTTTCACACTTCTTTAATTCTTTGCAAATGTGGATTATTCTGGTTGAAATTGTGAATGTTTGCTTCAGGATGATTAAATTATGAGATACTGAGTTTATGATATCTGTAAAACACTCAGGTAAGGCCTCTTAAAAACACACTAATTCTCTGATGTGCAAGAGAGGATTGAAATAATTCAATAGATACTTTGTTGTAGATTCAGTCTGCACTGGCCATGCACAGTCCTCAAATAGAGCACTTGCATTTTAGATGAATTAGAGCACAGGCCAGAATAATGTGTGTCAAGATGTAATGTTTACTGTATTTCCCACACTTGCAAACAGTTGCCACTGGGGGGTAGGGACAAGCAAACCAAAGGCAACTAAATTTTCATAATACACTGCTCAAATCCTGCCAATCCTAAAGCCAATAAGACTTCATGTCCCTTCTTCCTCCTGAGTTTAAACCTATTTCCCTGTTTTTTAACAATCTTCTCTACGACGAGATTAAGTGTGCCAAATTTCAGGAATGCCAAGATTTCTCTTCCAGCTAGATATTGTGGGTGCAGGGGTGGAGATGGCGGTATAGTATCAAAATTCAAATTTATAGCAGAGCTGTGGTCCAACTTCAGTTACTGAGTGATTACTGCCATTCCTTTAGTAACCCACTTTCCTCCTCATGCTACACCATTAGCATTCTGGAATATTAATTAGTGGCTTTGAGGTCTTTTCCCAGTACCTCAACTATGTCAGGATTCTTCAAAATAAGAGAAGAAACATGACCTTTGTAAGATCCTGGGACTGGCTGCAGAAATAGATCTGTTTCATGCAACCACATCTGGGAGGAAAAAAAAAAAAAAAAGTATGATATTATTTGTACTCAGAATGTCTAAATTGTTACCAAAAAGTTCAACAAAATATATATGTATCCCTTGGGGAAGGGAGTTAGAGAGGTGTCCTCTCTTGTAAAGAGACCCTAGCGCTCTCCACTTCAGTGTGTGATGTTCAGGACAGGCCTCACATGAAGTAAGCACAGAAAAGCACAAACTCAAATACTCCACCCTGGGAATACACTCCTAAGAATATCCTTCAGGAAGACAGACACACAATGCTGCAGCACACCAAGGGAGGGATGGAAGATGGAAGAGCTCTGCAAATGATCACCTGTGCTGGTACCAAGCTCCTCTGCCTGCTCTGTGCTCATGCACATTGGAAGAGCAATTCCTATGGCTGCTTCAACACTCTGGGCCTCAGGAGGCTCACACCTTTTCAAGGGTAGTGCATTTTTCTTCCTAAATGAAAGGCTTGGTATGCTGGTGAGAAATTCACAAAGATGCCTGTCAAAGCAGTTACCTATGGTGTGCTGTCACCCTGTGACTTTGTCACATCTTCAGAAACTGGAATTACACTAAACCAGTTTCTAACAGCTGCTGCCTCCCACAAATTGATTAGCTGCAGATATGATGTCTCCACTAGCTCTGCTATTTATGCAAAAATCTAAGTTCTGCCTTTGGTACCTCTGCCAGAAGTTTCTTACCATCCAGTGTCAGACTGGTATCAGGCATTTGACTTCTGACCTTTTATTTCTGATACACATGGAAGATCGGTGGTCTGTGTTATTCCTTTCTTTATT